CAGCTACAGAAACACAGAGATCTCTCCATATCCCAAAGGGCAAATAGGCCTACAGAAAAGATGAGGAGAATTGACATTGACATTGACTTATTCTGCAGCCATTGACATATTCATTATTCATATCAATGGCTGCAGAATAAGCATATTGGATAAACTCTTTTTGAGTTTCAAGTTTTGTCTCTGTGTTGATGTCGTAATCCCTCCAAAAAGTATTGTTGGGAAAGCGAATCAGCTTTTCATGAAGAACTGCATCTCTTTCAATTATGTTTCTTATTGGAGGGTTTTAAGTTAAACACTGCATTGCTAGAATAGGAGTGGTTTTTACACAGCCCGTAATAATACGGTGAGCTTGGTTTTGAACAGTTCAGGTGTTTGAATAGTACAAGTAACAGCAGAGACCAGAACTTTGTTATAATAACTGAAGATTGATTGAATGAAAAGCTTGAAAGTGGTATTCAAAGTGTCTTGACTGCAATCCCATTTTAAACCACCCAACCTTTTAAAAACCGAACGTCTTTAACAATTTTTCCACAAAGAGGGTCGAGAAAAGGAAATGTGTTGCTTCCTTTCGAAAGGAAATTTATGAGACAAAGCGGAAAAGTTTGAATTCTTTTATCAGCACGATGAATTACAAATCTGATTCTGAGAAAGTTTCTTAATGTTAAGGTCTTGTGAATGAAGAAAGCTGCGTAGTGTTTCCTTTAATTTTCATGCCCGTACCCAGTTGTTAGCCATGCTCAATAAATTGGCAGTATTCACTTGAAAATTAGGGACCACCGTATTCTAAATGAGTATTGTTCCAGAGAGTATCTATGCATGTCCAAGCAATTACACACATGATTCTTCACAATGTGCTGCGTTGTTTCTACCTATAGTATTGGTATAATTCCCCAAAGTTATAGGCTTGAAACGAAGTAACCAGGATGGTACGCTTCAATAGCTTGTCTTCTTAACAAATTCTTCCTACCATTGAAAGCAAAAGAGAAGATTTTTCAGATCAAATAACAATTCCTAATTGTAAAAACTCCACTCGGTAACGTTACATGCGTTTTCACAGTGATATGAAAGATAAGAATTTTACACTTTGATGTTCACCCACATATTTCTAATATGTGATCTACTTAAAAACACTCTTTTTCTTAAAATGAATAATGGAATTCAACTGTTATTTGCTTTGTTTGGCCTTTACATTTCAGTTGCTTAATTCGTATAATTGCTTAAGGCTCTTGTGTGGTATGTTGCACATAACTCAATGGGTTTTAAAGGTAAGACTTTTTTTTTAAGAGTGATCATAATTTTGCGATACCATTGCTGTGGACTGGAATAATTCTATTGGACTCTCATCATTAATCTATATGGGACTACCCGAGATCTGACGCATTTCATTAACATAAATTTAAAGGATGTTAATTTGGAATAATAATTGTGGTAAGAGATAACATATGTCTAAATCAAACTATACTTTATGCTGAAAAGTAATATACTTGCTTCTTTCATGTTTTCTTTACATCATCTGTGTCCATTATTTGGCCTAAATTTGTATGGCTACATGAATATTGCATTTGGTTCAGATAAGCAGTGTTTTAAGGGAACTTCCAGACTATCCAAACTGCTCTTAATCAGAAGCTCATGAGGAGAGAGTAGTAGGTTTAATAACTCAAGTGTTTGAACATCTATTGAAATCGAGTGGACAGGTTCGAATTTCAAAGTGTGAACTAAAATATAAACTTTATAATTGTTGACATTGTAAATTTCATTTACCTGTATATTATTCTTTTATTATACAATGAATATAGTAAGAATATTTCATTACAATCGTTGCCATATACTCGGAAACGAAATTCAAACAGATTTGATTTTCTATCGTTTAATTTGTGAAAATTATTGCTAATTATAATTTATTCTTGTGTGGAAATTTATTGTGTTTCTGGAAGCATTTGTTGTTTATTAAAGAACCCTTTGCAAAGCCCTAGGCACAAAACAATTTCAGGGAGCGCTCTTATGCCAATTCTTCTTGTTTTGCGAGGGGGGAAAGGTTATGAGGATTTATAGTATGAGTTGACAATCCCTTTTAATCTAGAACTTAGACCTGGGCTCTGTAGAGCTTGACAGTAATCAGGCCTTAAACCTGTCACGTTTTGTACAACGTAACAGAACCCATAAATATATTTGTGATATGGCATAAATAGGAAGTGGAGGCATAGCGGGGGCTAGGAATATTTTATATCAAGATTAAGGTGCTGTATATTTTCTACGGTAAAAGTAACTGGTTGCTGTATATTTTCTACGGTAAAAGTAACTGGTTGCTGTTGACTTCTTTCGCGCTATGTAAATAAATGCAGCAACTTTGTTTACTAGTCCGTCAAGGAAAGTATCATAAGGTTTTATTCTCAATTAAACGATGATTATAAATTAGACTCATGGATACATTCAAGCTCATAATGAATTTAAGTGCTAGCTTCATAAAATTTTAGTGCTATATATAACGTTTAACATTATAAGGTATTTTCTCCCTCCTTTCGGCATGCATTCGTGGTGTATCGGTCAGCAAGCTCGGCACGTGTCCGAGAGGTCCAGGGTTCGAGTCCCGGCGAGGACATTGCACATGTTTCATGCTTCAAAACAACACGCTACAACTTTTATATAAAATGAATGTTTGATATTCGTAATAATAAATCACAGTATCAAGTAGGTTATTTATTATAGCTTTTCAATAGCTTTCGGGGAGGATGTGTGTTAACGCCAACCTGTAAAATAGCTAATCGTTTGCGCCATTAAATTGGTTATATTTGTATTGCTTAATATGGCAACGCTATGTTGCTTCGATAATGTAGTTTATAAAAACTTCAGTCGTTCGTTTGTTTCGCTGCTTCATCGGAAGGAAAATTTGAAAGGAAAAATAAAAATATTAAAAATGTTAAATGGTGTTTGTATTTTAAATTTATATTACAGTCCACTTGAAATTAACAATCTGTGCTACTATCTTCTAATAGAAGGAATAGAACCTTAAGTAGCAACCTATTATTGCTCGTAAATGTTTTTAATTTTCTGTAATTCTGCACCTTTCCTCGAATTAGGTAATTTGGGTACAAATTGCACCTAACTTACAACAAAATATTGCTTCAGTCACATTTGCAACAATATTTTGGGTCTTCAATTAAAATGTTTGACATAAAATTTAGTTCCTCTAAATGGATTCTCATCAAGTGCCTTTTTAGAAAAGTTGCATAATATGACTTATTTTACTAAATTAAATAATCAAACCCCAACAGGCACGGCCATTTAAGTGTAATTTTCTAGTATTTAAAAAATCTGATGGTCCAGTACATTATCAGAGTAATTTGCATGCTCTAAATAACAGTTAAGAAGATAGTTAAGTAACGACCTATGCAAGACATTTGACTTATTCAAATAATATTTTGTGGAGAAGTAAACATTTATATATAATTTTTAAATTTAACTGCAGCAGAATTTTCTAAAAACTTATTCCTCTCCCAAAAATTTCAGTTTAATCACTTGGAATCCCCGCAGGTATTGTTCGCACTGGTTTAGTATTATACTATGACAGTGGCGGTTCTGGGGGCACAATAACACGAACCCGGTACCTATGTTCAGAAAGGGCAACTAATGCTGTCCGGGACGGTCGGGCTTTTGACCGTCCGAGTAGGCTAGCGTGACAACAACATTATGGGCATTCCCCGTTCCGTGAACTTAATCACACTACAGGTTCACCCTTTTTGGGGTACATCGTAGAGGTTCAACCTCCACTATTATCTCTCCAGAGGAGAGGCGCACCACCTGGAAATACATTGATCTCCAGGCAGTACTGGTCGTCAATTGCTACCTGCCAGTCGCATGGGCGAACCCGTCGCAGAAGGCCGTTACCCAGGAAAACGAGGGGAACAACCCCCCGGCTACGGATCCAACCGCTCAGAACATGCCAGACCCCGAGGCAAGTAAGTGACCTTTTCCAGGGCCTTCAGAACCACCAAGTTCATAAATTTTATACCTCGTGGTCGAGACTGCCTAGGTACAGATCCTAGCCAGTAGCTTCGCAGAGTTCTCTACGTCGACCCCCGGGGAGGGGCTAGCGTGACAGCAGAACTGTGGTGTTTCAGTAGGCGTCCCCATTCTTCGTGGTCTCCATGCTTCTAGAAGTGGTGATCCTGGATTTCAAGTTCAAGGGGTGCTAAGAGAGAGTTGAAATTTTCCAAAACTCCACTTCAGAGTGGAGTAGGATCCCATTGCGAGCGGTTTATAAGTACGTAGTTGTGACACCCTTTTGGGGGCTTTTTAACGATTTCCGAACCTAATACGGAGGTGTGGGGGTCTGTCCGTGTAATGCCTGATATCGAGATAGCGGAACACGCATTTGTCATAGACTTACCTCTCGGAGCCATAAAATTCAGCGGACCAACACTATTTGGAAAATGCTAGCCTAGAGTATCATTCTGCAAGTAATAAAATTATTACTGGCAGCTAAGCTTTAATTTCAAAGTGCTGTATCACGAAATGTATTTTTCGGACTGCGGAAATTTAGAATAAAATCAAATTTCCATGCCGATGCAATTCGTTTTTTCGTGAAATGGTCTTTTCTGTCTTAATTTTAGCTTTAATTCCGAGCTATTAGACTTCATTAAATAACTTCACCTGTAAATTCCTTGGCTCACAAAATCGTATTTCTTCTAGTCTGTGAATGTGCGCATCATTAGGAAAAATTTAGATAAAACAGGAAAGAATGTTTCGTATGAGGGGAAAGGTCTCAGGTCTTCTTATCACTGCTTACAAGTTTTGTAATTTCTATTTCCAAAGGTTTTCTTTTTCCGCCTTTTTCTCACCTTACATTCCTTTTTCTTCATACATTTCTCGTCATGTGACGTCAGATGTCTTTACGAGATGGATTAAGAAAGATTATCAGGGAGATAATGAACGGATAGATCGCTTCGCACGTTACCTATAAAAAGAGACTAAATTTTGGGAAAAGCAACAGCAGTTGAATAGGAAGCTACAATATTTAAACTGCACTTTAAAAAAAAAGTTATAGTACAAAATGACAGGAAAATTGAATTGTACTTCAAGAAAAGCCTCCAAAAAAGGTCAGTATTTAAATTCTTTCTTTCTTTTATTTTCTTTTTTCTATTTTTGGGTTATGTAAATGTAATTTTTATTTCTCATATAATATCATTTCTTTATTTTTGTGTCTAATTCTCCGATGATTTATTAATCCAAATGGCGGTAACCCAGAAAGGCTATTAATTTCGTTTTGGTATTTTGCGTCGGAAACTTTAAAAGCCTAAATCACTTTTCAAATTGTTGCCACCCAATATTATCGCGCTGCATTATACTATTTAAAGAAATTAAATAATGAAGAATGCATAAATGTATGTATGTTTCTCGCATTGTGATAAAACAACGGTACCTAGAGCCATCACATTTTGAATGACGTATGTCTCCATCCGAATAGGGGCCTCCGGAAACCAAATTTGGAATTCGCTTTGTTATCTATTTCATATTTTTTAAAGCATTTATGACTTTTTGATTAAGAACTCAACGATTTCAAAGCGAGCAATGGCAACTTTGTATTAAAAAAAAATTATCTCCAGCGCGCTAGACTGTCTATCGAAAATTCTAAAGATATGCTCTTTTTAAATTATTTTGCGATATTGCTGTTGAATTAAATTTTATGGTTTAAATGCAGAGAACATGATATTTAATAAATAAAGGTAGCACACAAAATGTTAAGAAAACGCCCGTATGGGCGCAGTATAAAAATCTAAAAGCTGTAAGCTTTTTTTTTAATTATTTTTTCTGGCATATTTTATATATGCATACTGTAAAATGGTTTATGAATTACACATTCTGTTAAATAACATAATTGTGATACTAGGGCATAATATTCGGTGGCAACAATTTGAAAAGTGAATTGCCGCTTATAGTGGACGACACACAATGTCGTTTTGAGACTTATATAGACTTTTTGATCTAAAAACTCTCAACATATTTATATGAAATAATAAATTCGAAAGTATTTCTTTCTATGTTATTTTTTTAAAACTAAACTGCTGTTTTCGAAATAATTCTACTTGTTCACTGACCAAAACCTGGTAAACAGAAACCTTAACTCTCCGTCTAGACGAACGTCTGTAAAAATTTCCTCATAAAGTGGAGGAAAATATTTCAAATAAAAAACTATTTTTAGGTACGATCTTCATTAAATAAGCATACTGTTGCTGCAGCCATGAACCATAATTTGTCACTAGCGAAATCAAACTAAAAAATATTCAATTTTTGGTTTTCCTTTTAAAATTATTACTAAAATTTGAATTATTATCATTTAAATATTCTTAGTTAAATTTTTATTGTTATCATTAAACGTTTTCTTTCCGTTATCAATACTCTCTATGCTCAGCAAAGAGAATTCCGATAAAGCATGGATGGAGAATTTGGTATCAGTTTTAAGATTGATAAAGGTCTATTTATTCAGACGCATCCAAATCAGAAACGTCTTCTTGTTCTTGTTATCTTTCGCTTTTCACTTTTATCCTACTTGTCAAAGCATAGATAAGTGTGCTGCCTAAAATAAGTTATTTACATTTTAAAAACCTTTATTTTAATTGCGGATTATTTTGTAGTCAATTTAAACTAGATTTTTTTTTCATATGAGAATCTTTGATGCTATTGTTGGTATTTGAATCAAAGTCTTACACTTTTCTGTGTTTTGTTACGTTTATTAAGAAGCTTTCATATAACATGGCTTAAATGTCACTGTCATAAGTTGTGTCGTAGCAGTGTTTATACGTAACTAAAACTTTGCGAAATTCGAATCTAAGCCGTAAACAGTCAACGAAAAATACCTTTTTCGCATCCTTGATCTCATCAAAGTTTAAAATCTAGATTCTTGTATTGTTTATTATTATTATTATTATTATTATTATTACTATTATCATTAGCCTTATTTGCAGTGATCGTTTTTATTAAAAATAAAATGTCGAAAATTGTCCATTTATTCTGTCAAATGCAGCTAATTCCTAAGCCTAACATAGATGCTAAACTAACGCTTCAGGAAAATCGGGAAGGTTTTGTTTAGTTGACCATGGCAAAGCACACTAGGGCTATCTGCCTAAGGGAAGGGATGCTTTCGTAGAGCAATTTCTAAAGGAAACTGGCTAGTACACGCTTTACACATAAGCGGATCCGCAAAAACTCCCGTGCAGCCCGCCCATTCGCCTGTAATCGAACCCATATCAGAACTACCAGTGTTCAGCAATATAACCGTTTGGTCGTTAATGAACCGAAAATTGGAAAAACAGTGTCTCATATTTAGCTCTAATTGATCGATTTCCCTTTTCTTTATACATTCTTCTCCTAAAAGTTTAGAACTTAAGATCTTTCATTCAAAATAAAGCGCACATTCCTTAATTAACTAAACGTTTGAAAGTAACAAAGGTTCTTAACATTTTTTATTTGTATTTTATTTTTATAATATTTCTAATTGATGTAAATTTATAATGGCATCTAACTCATGTGATTTATAGTTTGTAATAACAGACAAATTTTCTAAACATTTGTGCCATTTCAATAATTGTTAAAAGATATTCCTAATGCCCTATATGAGTATTCAGTGTCTGGGAATAATCGTCATCAGAATTAAGAATTCACCTCGATATACTTGTCAGCAGAATTATGGTGTGAGTGCAGCTTAAGAAAAATATTTTGAACATGATATAGATTTCCATGGCAACAATGATCGCCATATATGAAAAAATATGATACTCTAAAACCCAATAATATATGATACGTTTTTAATATATTATTTTAAGCCATTTTTAATCTGAATAAATAATCTGAATAAACCTATTGAGAAAACACGTATGTAAATTAAGATACTAAAAGTATTACAAAAAATAAAGATATATTTTTATATTATTATAGAAACAAATTTGAAATGAATGTTGCGAAAGGGATAAAGATATTGGATTTATACTCAGAAATAAATGTTCATCTAGGATTTAGAAGGTAGCCATTAAAAAATTTCAGTAATATGTATTAAGTGCATGTACAGTATTATGTCTCTGAAATATCGTATTTCTTTTTATTCTGAAAATAGATATCTTCCCTGCAAGATATGTTCTCACTTTCTTGACTTTTAGTGGCATGTGTCTCATATTTGGCCACAGAGTGTGTCTCAACGTTGCAATGGTCGCCATGGTGAATTCCAGTGCCGAAATTGAGTTGTCTGAAAATGATGATAATCATAATAAAGATAACAACCACTGTCCCTTACCAGACTTGGTGCTAAATAACACGCAGAATTTGAAAAAGGTATTTCTAGTCAAAATCTTTAGTACAAAAATTGTGTAATCTAAGAAAAACGAATTCATTAGTTCAATGCATTAGACTATAAAACCTATAAATATAATTCCGATTTCATTTAACGAAATTCTGAAATACTTTTATTTATTTATTTAATTATTTATTTGCTAAATGTTTTAATCAACCCAATTATTTCAAAGTATACCTAAATTTTTAGACTGAAGATGTAATAATAAATTAACACTAATACCAATCTTTCCACCTTTCCGTATATCAAATAAAGTTTGAATCCTCAGTTCTTTTGACCATTTTTTTTCTTGAAAATAAATTCTGTAATAGGATACCTATTTATGTATTACCTTGCAAAAATTACTATGCACGCTTTTGCAAAAGTTATTTTTGTTATGCTCAAACAGTTTTTCTGGTAATGATTTAAGAGTTTTTGCTTCTGTTGTAGGCTTAACTAAATTAAATGAGCGCAGACGACACCCAGCAAAGAAGCAAAAATTAGTCTTTAATTGGCCTTGATTTCAAACCAAAAAAAGCTAAATGCAGCACTACAAAAAATTCTTTCTTGCAGCTTGTCGGTCCAGTTCCAGTGAGGCTTTTAATTTAAATTAACTCCAAATAAAGCTAATCTTTACAGCAGTTAAATTATATGTTTGATTTAAGGTAAATGATTAGAAATTCTATTTACTTAAAAAAAATTCTGATATTCTGTCTACCAAAGCAGTTGCCTGAGTTGATGAATTGCGGTATTTAACATTTCTTTCTATTTAATTTACGATGTAAGAAAGATTCCACTTAGCGAACATTGTCTTCACATCAGCACCTCAAAAATAGTTGCATTTTAACACATTTCAAAACTGTGATATACTAATGACTCACAGCAAATGTGACTCCTTCAAATTATTTGCGATTTTTCTATTAAACGCAATAAAATAGATCATTACACTGATGAATCAGTTACTAATTTAAAAGAAAAGAAACACGAGTATATTATAACCTGTGTAATGTCAACGCAAATTGCTGCGTGAAAAGATTTGACCACAAAACATACTTAAGTCATTCAATAACATGTTTAGCATTCTTAAAATATGTAGATGGAGATAAAAATGGGTGCGATATTTTAACCATTCCAAGCCAAATCCTGAATCTTTTTTTTTTTTTTTAATATTGCATGTGCATAATGAATGAATCACTCTAGCGCTTTACCTTTAGAATGATTGTTATTATTTCATTGACTGCTGTAGGGTACATATGCTTGGACACCATACACACAGGGAGTCATATTAGCTTCCTATTTTTATGGATATGTCGTAGCACAGATCATTGGAGGAAGGATTGCTGATTATATTGGTGCTAAACGTCTCTTTGGAGGAGCAACATTGTTGTCATCCATTTTGACCTGTTTCACGCCTGTAATTTCAACTTTACCAGAGATCCATATGATTGTATTACGAATCGCCCTCGGGTTCGTTCATGTAAGTAACAGCAATTCATTTTTTAATATATAGATGAAAATTTTCTTTGTTCAAATCAGTCGAAGATCATTGAATATATTTTCAGGGTATGAATTATCCAAGCGCATATACACTGTTCGCTCGATGGGCGCCAGTACAAGAGAGGAGCACTTTGCTGTCCATCTGCGTGATCGGTACTCATTTTGGCGTAGTGATGTCTATGCCACTCACCGGATACTTGTGTGATAATGGTTTTGCCGGCGGATGGCCATCTGCATTTTACGTATTAGGTAAGCAAATCACATATTTTTTCATTACATTTATCAAGTGATAAAATTAAAGTTGATCAGAGTGGCACTTAAGTTTACTTTCTGTTCAAACTTTCATTGAAATTAATTTTTAATCGCATTGCTCTTTATAATAGTTTTCAAAAACTACACACACATATCAGTTACGTCAAGCTAAAAATTCAGCACTCAAAAGCATTTTTAAAGGTTTCTCATCCATCTATACATCCCTATTTTCCTAGCAAATCCTTTTATGAAAAAAAAAAAAAAAAAATTCCGTTATGAAAAAAATAGAAGTAGAAGTCTTGTTTGCAGACTTGCAAGCAGGGGCGTAGCTAGAGTTTCCAGCGCCCGGGGACAGCTGAAAAATTGGCGCCCTTTCTGTGTGTTAAGAATGGGAAATATTTCATTAAAAAATTTCGTAGCATCAATTTGGCGCCCCTTGGATGCTGCGCCCGGGGGCAGATGTCCCCCCTTGCCCCACCCTAGCTACGCCACTGCTTGCAAGATTTTCATCTACTGATAGTTACGTTTTTCATTGCAGACTAAAGCGTAATAACCAGATTTTTCAATCCTGATTATTCAGTATCTAAATCGATGTATAATAGTATTAAAATTCTAACTTATCTAATACTATTTAGCCGAATTAGTAGGACCAGTCAATAGTAGTTCATACCAATTTCGGATTTCTGCATTTGAAAGAAAATATTCGCAAGTTTTTCCTGTTTTTTTTCCATGCTGAATGAGAATAGGAAACATTGTTAGAAACTCCAAGAAGGCATTCATCGATAAATGTTTTGCTATAGTATTGTGACTGCATTCATGGGTATGATAACTGCAAACTGTACAAATGTGTTGTCAGAGAGTTTTTTTCATTAATTCTATAATTCATTTTTCCCTTTCAAAATTTTGAACTGTCAAGTAGACTCAACTCATATTGTACCAGTCAAGTATATTCATCTGTTATTCATCATATAGGTTTACTAACGCGTCATAGTCTGATATGATGTATTCATCTATTTTGCTATGCTCAAGGAAAGCAACCATTAAATCTTTTATTTTTAACTTACAGCAAGTGTACTCCTTTTGGTAAGGAACCACGTTTTTACACTAGTGCGTATCACTCTCAAGAACCTTCAAAAATTCAAAACAACAGTTAAATGTTAAAGAACAATAAAGTATATTTCAGAGGAATTTTTTCAATTTCAGGCATATGAAGTTTGTTGAAACAAAAATTCTGCAAGTCTAATTGAATAATTAGTAACATTTCATATCTCATAAACGCATTATCCGAAATTGGTATGAACTACTATTGTTGAGGTTTAATTGAAAATGGAGACAGTTAAATTTTCATTGAATGAGATAAAAATACTTAGATTTTATCTTAATGAAAGGCTTTGAGTCAAAGACATGCAAACTGTTTTATAAGTTTGCTATCCCGCAATACAGACTTTTGACAAAAAATTAAAGCTGCTTATTTCTTTGTTGAAATATAGATCCTTGCAGAATACCAATATATCTAACACGTAACCTTCAATGAATAAACACTTTAATAAACTTATATTTCTAGGTGCTTTTGAAAGCTGACTTCGCTACGTCTTGAGTTTATAACGAATCTAACTTTTAAAATGTCAAAAGGCATGTTTAAACTCCGCGTACTAATATTAATAACTTGAGTAAAGATCTGGTAAGATATAGGGAACTCTGTGAATAATGGTTAAAAAAATTACGATGAGCGCAATGCACTAATTGTTTTAAAAGCTTATATTGTTGTAAAATTAAAGCCTAAAACCTTTTACATTACCTTGACATTTCATAAAGAACAAGTTATTTAAAATATTATTTTCTTTGCATAACACGATTAATATTTATTATATTTTTGTAATGACTATGTTGAGGTATTCTTGATTGCTATAGTTGTTGTTAATGTTCACTTGTCTGACCTATAGTCAGCCCAAGCCCACGAAATTCCTCGTGCCAAGGAGCTAAAGTTTTACGCCTGTCGTTGGCAACAGCCTTGAGTACTTTAAAGGTGACAGTGCGATTTAGCTCAGTTCCACCACCCAATTTTGATGGAGGGCACCCCTGGGGGAACGGGTCTGAAGGTCTCCCAACGCTCTTCTAATACCATCGACTTCTCCAAAGGACTTTCGGATCGGCGCATATTTAGAGTGCCCACATACCACACGGACACTATACATTTACATACATCTATGCCTTCTCCGGAATTTGAACCTGGGCCCTTCGGCACGGCAGTCACCGACGCTAACTACTATACCGATTGGGCGGCGATTGCTATATTTTTCTACGTAATAAAACATTTTTTATGAAACTAATTTCCCATTTTCAATAAGAATTTCAATTACTGTATGAACCAGAACGTGTAATATTTTATTTATTTATTTATTAGTCCAAAGGGATTTGAATCCCGAAGGACTATTAGTTTCGTTTTGGCATTTTGCGTCGGACGGATAAATGTCGGTTCACTTTTCAAACTGTTGCCATAAAATGTTAGAGTCCTGCATTATATTTGAAGAAATTAAATAATGAAAATCTGCGTAAATGTATGTATATTTCTCGCATTGTCATAAAATAACGGTACATAGAGTCATCGAATTTTGAATAACGTAATCCTCCAACGAATATGAGCATGTGGAAGACCAAATTTGAAATTTGAAATTTGTTTTATGATCGATTTCCTATTTTTTAAAACTTTGACGAATTTTTGATTAACAAACTCAAGGATTTCAAAGCGAGCAATGGCAACGTTGTGCAGAAAAAAACATTTTTATCTCCAGCGCGTGAGTCTCTGTATCGGAAATTCTAAAGATATGCTCGTTTTAAAACTATTTTGCGATATTGCTGTTGCACTGGATCTTATGGTTTAAGTGCGAGGAACATGATATTTAATAAAGAAAGGTAACACACAAAATGTTAAAAAACGCCCCTTTGGACGTAATTTAAAATCTGAAACATTTCAGATTTTTTTTATCTCTTTTTTATAGTTAATTCAAAAAACTTCATTTTTATTTATTTTATTATTTATTTATTTATTTATTTATTTATTTATTTATTTATTTTGTGTGTGTGTGTGTTTCAGGAGCAGCTGGTTTCCTATGGTTCGCCCTCTGGCTCTTCTTTGTATTCGATACTCCAGCAAAACATCCCAGAATAAGTTCTTTCGAGCTTGAATACATTCAAAGAAATGTGCTATATGTGTCTAAAGAGAAACAGGTGCGTGACTTGTGTTTCTGGAAACATTTTATATCTTTTGCATGGAAGTTATTTTTATATTTAATTATTATGTATTCCATTTTTTGGTAATTAACCGTTTGACTGCTACGCGCCGCAAAATCGCTGCGTTCATTTGTCTCGAAAACCGCGAAGCAGTTAGTTATTTTAGAATGCATTCGTGTTACTAAGTACGCGTGAGGTCAGACTACGTTCACACCCACGGAGCAACAAAGACACACTGAAACTCGCAACGCAAAAGCGCTGCGTCGCGGTTTTCGAGACAAATGAACACAGCGCTTTTGCGCCGCGTAGCAGTCAAACGGTTAAAATGGCTTAAGCTTATTTTTAAGTATGATCTTCAGTAATTTATTAATTTGGCTGTATATAACACAGCATGACGTTGAATAATTATTTAATGATCCGCAGTCCATTAAATAATAAGTAATAAAAAGAAATATCTATCGTCTTTATCATAAATATTATCAGGCGGTTCAAATATAAATTATTTAAATTATCATTACAATGCATTAAAAGAAATGAAACGGTAAGCTATAATAAATATGTTAACTAATCAAATTATTAAATTAATAATTTCAACAGTTATTGAAATAAAGTCAACCTTTCTAAAATAAAAAAGGCACAGAACTTATTTAAATGCAAGTGGTTAAAAGTATCTGCCTCTTCTATTTATTGAATGAGATATAATAAATTTAATTCCTTTAAGGGGGCTCATACACCTTAAACCCCTTATGATCTTCAAATATGTGATTGTTGCAAGAATTGGGATATTTTATTTATTTTAAAAGCAATTACTTCCATCTTTTTACAGCTGACTACATAATATAGCTGCTTTGGGAACTAGTAACCAGAAAGTTTGTGTTGCCACAAATATTTTTGTAAAATAATCCGCTTGCGCGCATGATATCTTAAAAAAAGCTAATGGTACATTCTTTAAATTTGATGGAATTCTTTATATGGGCAGTATTTTTTAACTGAACCAAAAATCTGATGAATATTTTAATATTGAAAAATTTTATGCACGAAAATATTACAGATTTTTTTAATAAAATACTATTTATAAACTCAATTCCAAATAAAATAAAAATTTAAAAAGAAATTCTTAGAATTTCCGGTTCACAGTACTTCCCAAATGTTTTAAAAGCTATATATTAAATATGAAATAATGTTATGCAACAAAATGTTTTAAACTGTGCGCGCAAGGTGGAAACATGACGAAAAATGTTGTCACAAAGCGAATTAAATTATAAAAATATTTGTGGCAACACAATCTTTCTGGTTACTATTTCAGAAAGCAGCTGTATTATGCAGTCAGCTGTAAAAAGATGGAAGCAATTGCTTTTAACATAAATGAGTTATCCCAATTCTTGCAACAGTCACATATTCAATGATCTTATGTGTTTTAAAGTGTACGAGGCCCCTTAAAAACTTGTTTGCTGAAACAAAATGCTGATGAGAAAACTTAGGTGAATTATCCAAACCATAATAAAGGAGAAAATTCCATAATATTTTACACGAAACTGTATACTTCTAAGTTTTCCTATTAAAGTACTGAATAACGCAGTATTTTTATAGCAATGTATTTGAGTTTTAATTTCTGCGGGTTAAAATTTATTTGCTTCTGCTTATATTTCAAGCTTGCTTTCAGTTTAAGTGTGCAACGACGTAAATTAAACCAATATTTGCGATTTTATATTGAAGGCTTGTATGTCAAACTCGATGTGACTTATTTATTGAACACATTTATATTGTTTATTAATTGCTAAATAAGACATTCTTTCGTGAAATCTCAAAGTTTACAGCTGCTATCATAAAGCACAGTATGTAAATTAAGTTACCAACTTTACTTTATTAATTCGTTTTCAGAATGTATCCGTTCCATGGCTTCATGTAATCCGATCTCCGCCAGTATGGGCAGTGACTGTTGCCAAATTTTGCGGAGCTTGGAGTTTTATTTGTTTTCAATCTAAGTTGCCAGCCTACTTGGATGAAGTCCTGCATTTGCCCATCCAAAAGGTAAGAGCACTTATTTTTCAACAGCATCTTTGCTCTGAATATCATTTCAGCAAAATATTTTTAACACAAAGGGAGAACTTGAATTTTTGTTCGAAAAAATAGTTATACTATGTACTTATATTCATACGCGTTATTTCCTTAACACTTAGACAGATGGAAAATGGCGAATTTTAATTGCTTAATATAAAAAGCAGAGAATTTTCACTTTAGTAACTCGCTGCATGTGTATTTCAGATAGAAAAATTAAAAGTTTAAACGAAATGGAAGAGTTATTCCAATGAAATACCGCAAAATACACTTTAACAGTTTTTTGAGTTGTAATTTTTTTCTAATTATTCTGATGAATATTTTACTTAAGTTACATGAAGAGTCCTGAAGTTACTGCTTGTGATTATAATGTAAAGAATAAAATGTAAATATAATTAAAAATAATTATTTAATTCTACATCTTTTCTGAATTAACTACTGTTATTAATGACATATGAAATAAACATTGATCCTCGCCTTCTGGCTTGTGTTTTAGTGACAAACTCTCATGTTAGAGATAAGCATAAGATACGATTTCAGTTTTGTATTTGATAAAAGATTTTTATTTGTTAGACATTGCAAGTAGGTTTCTGAATCTCTTTTAATTGTGTTATTCACATCGCATACTCGGGCCAGTCCATAGCCCAAAATACATTCATTACTTTGCTTTCCTGTAAAATGGGCTGACTACGTAGAGGGCTTAATCTTTCCTCCAATACGTAATGCAAATATGAAGCTATTTTCTTCAGAAATGTCTTCACGAACTTTACCAAAGAAAAATAACTTGTGTTTTAAGAAATTAAACAATCTAACTTAAGCTTGTAAATCTTCACTGAACAAAAGACAAGCTATATTATAAAACGCAAGATCAAATTCAATGTGAAAAGAAATCATTAAAAAGTAAAATTCTCCTTTTCTTAACACATTCTTAATATAAAAGAACTTATGTTATGTTTCTGAGATTTGGAACTATGCATCTTCAACCATAGAAAATAAAGGAAATGAAATACAAAAAAAGCTAAACAATTTTCAACTATTACTCATTTTGATAGCATCTAGAAAAACAATTGATACCAAATGTTTTATAAAAATATTCGGTTTTGAGGGCCGTAAAAAATCGCCAAACTTTTGTTGACAGTGCTGCCAAAATAATTGCGGTAACCCTAACGCAAGATAGGAAGTATACTAGTAAACAACTATTTAAGATTGATGTTTTAAATTTAGATGAAAAGTTAATTTCATATAATACTTTTTTATTATTACTTGTATAATTTATATAAAAAAGGCTAAACATGGCTGAATGGATGCATAAGAGTAAATAACTATTTCAGATCATTATTATAATTTATATAAAAATTGCTAAACATAACTGATGATGCTGCATCGCTATTTCGCTAACGAGTTATCGCTAAAGCATAATTTCATTTCATTTGTTTTCAAACATAATTTTCTATAATTGAATGTGCCTTTTCTTTGAAAAATTCTCGTTAAAGTGCAAATAGCCCCTTATTTGTTTGCCGCTTTTTACAAGGGTAAAAACAATGGGTTTTTTTGTCAATTTTCTTTTACTTTCAAGTGAAAATATGTCGATGTGTACTAAAAAGTCAAGGGTGTGCGCAGTGCCGTTTTTGTGCAATTCTGTGATTTTTTTTTTTTTTTTTTTTTTTTTTTAAGTTGAAATAGGTCGATGTGTACATACACTCACGTTTTGTGAAAATTGCAACACCAAGAAGGATCGTCATAATTGATGCAATTTAATACACAGTGAGTGGTAGTGGTACAAATAATGATTAAATGTTCAAAGCAACAAACAATAACAGAGATCAAATCAGTATTTTGTGTGGCCACCACGCGCCGCAATAAGTGCTGCTACACGACGTGGCATGGAGTCAACAAAGTTTGAATTCTGACTGAGGAAGCGCATTCCATAACGTTGTACGCGTACCCAAATTCGTCTGCAGACGCAACAGAACGAGGATCACGAGCAAGACGCCGACCAATGACATCCCACACATGTTCAATGGCGACATATCCGGGGAACACGCAGGCCAAGGAAGAAGCTGTACCTGCTGCGCTGCAAAGAAGGATTTAACAATCCGAGCATTATGAGGGCGGGCATTGTCCTGTTGAAATACAGCGCCTGGCAAGCTTTAAAGGAAGGGAACAGCTTCGGGCTGTGAACTTCACGGATTACCGGTTGCTGTTCATATTGCCCATAATTCGTAGCACTTGAGATCGTCTATGATATGCTATGGCGCCCCAACCTAACTCCGGGTGTTCGTCCACTGTGCGTTCGATAATGCACTCCGGAAGGTGTGCGTTCACCGGCATAGCCTCTGACCGAATGCGGCCATCATGGTACCACAAATTAAAGCGGTTCGTCAGAAAAACACGACATGCTGCCAATCAGCACGCAGTCTCTATGCTGATTGGCCATTGTCCGCGGCGGCGATGGTCGTGCGTTAGGGGGATCCTGTATAAAGGAGTCCGTCGCGCAGTCCACACTGCAGCAGCGTCTACGAATTGATGAAGCACACAATGAAACACCTGTAGCATTGACCACAGTGCTGCCAATTGTCTAGAGGAGCTGTACGGTCCGTCCGCGCCATGCGACCAGGTGTCTATCATCGCGAGCTGACGTCACATTTCGGGTCCACTCCCGGATTTCCGAGTTGTCCGACCTCGTCCGTCCACTGCTTCAAACGCGCATCACTGTGCTGCTGTTACGCTGCACACGAGAGGCTACTGCACGATACGACAATCCAGCTTCACGAAGGCCGATGATTCCCCCGTCAAACTCTGTACGTGTTCAAAATCTCGCTCTCTTTCGTCGACGATAAGTACAATTGAGTTAACGTTTACCACAGCAGATAACCACCGATAACCATACACGCCTCGCTACAGCCGTCTATTATTCGGTCCATCAGCCGTTAGAGGGGCTGTCACATACGCATGCGCTACGGATTTGCAATTCTAATCATTTGCAGATCATGCGCTACTTGCATTTCCTGAAATTCAGCTCACTCGCGAAGTCCTTCATGGTGTTGCAATTTCAAAACGTGAGTGTAGATACCGAGTATGTGCAATTCTTAAAAACGCGTCAAGCAGTGGGTGATTCTGCATTTTACCCAAAATTCTATTGCAGACTTTCGTCATGGGCAATTCTTAAATTGTTAAATCCATAGGATATCAAAAAGGGATTTAAAATCAAAAAAAGGATTTAAAAATCAAACTAGTATTTCAATGCCGTCTTAAGAAATATAGAACTATATAAACTTAAGCAATCTGAAATCAATGCGTACCCTAGTTTTGGAGTGCTGTTAAATGGGCGCGTTTGCTAGATTTGGCGCTTTTGCACAAACATTTTCGCTGCAATTTTTTTACGGTCCTCAAAACTTTCAATATCAAAACTTTCTCAAAAAACCAAATATTCAAACTTTCATTTTTTTAACTTCATATTCCTTTCTTTCAGTTCTTTAGCTTCTATATTCATTCTTTAGCTTCAAAAACTCATTTTCAGATGTTCTTTCATTTCTTTTAGAACGGTTTTGTGAATGCACTCTTATTTGGAGCTCTGTGTATTTCCATTGTCATTTCTGGAAAGGCTTCTGATTTTATCAGGTCAAAAGGATACTTCAGAACAACCACTATAAGAAAATCGTTCGAAACCATTGGTAAGTTCCTCATTATTTTATTGCTTATAAGTAAACCATTCCACACTTTGTTGATAAGGAAAGTAAAAATAATTATCTTGCTGGCAAAAATAATGCTGTATAAATCCGGCTGCTCCGTACGTCTTTTATTAAATTATCTTATTATCATAGTCAAGAACTATCGTATGAAGTTTCCCATAGTTACAATACAATAAGCGTTCTGTGCAAACAATAAATATCCAAATTAATGCGTCTTCAAATAAATTTTAAGTAACAAAATTCAGATGCAAAATTATAAGAGTTTTACCTTAAATGTCGAAATAATGTTCTGTCTACTTCCCCGTGTCATTAATCATAGTTTATGACATGTGCATATAGATAGTCGGTAAGAGGTGATTAGAAATTCTAGATTCATAACAACTGCAAAGAAAACATTCTATAATTACTATATTCTATAACATTTTGGAATTTTAGATAAATTGTAAAGGAAAAAATGCACTATATAATTAGTACAAAATCGGATTTTTCCCCCTATTGCTATCTCAAGGAGTTGATTACTTGAATCAACTCCATGAGATATCCATATCCTCATAATCGATACTCATAACTCAATATCTCATGGATTTAAGGTTATCCTCATAATCGATACTTATGAAATGGTAATACTCCTCATAAAATTATTTCACTGTAATTGTATTTAATATATATACTATAAAATACATGTATATTCATAGTGAAAAGCTATATTATCGGTAAAACAAATGCAAATCCTAATTGTACCTATAAAAAATAAAAAAATAAAAAAAAAGTAAATTGTTAATATAAGTAACGTGCTTTAAGTTGGTCTAAACATCATTCTGCCACAAACGTTAACCTCAGACACAGTAAAAATGCATTCGTAATAAGATGTAAGTAATACAGATAGCACAACCCCCCCCCAACAAGGCATAAAGTCTGCGGCATAAGAAGTCTAAGATTTTCAACTATGAAATGTTAAATTCAATGCAATATGAGATGAAAGACAAATCAAAATGAAAAAAAAAAATCACTTTTGACCACGGCGACAACGACCGTTTTAGATTTAATACATAGTACTTCCAAAACTTTCAACGGAAATGTACCAAAACTTTTCAATTTATCTTAGCCGTTGCGTATTTTTTCATTGTGGGAAAATTACTGAACCATTGAGTATTCGCTGTGATATTAACCTTCTTGGTTAAGAATGGTCGTCAAAATAGAACAGCTGAACTGAAGCCATTAGAAAAAAAGTGCGTAACAAATTTCAAGGCAGTAATGATACAGCGAATATTTTTTAGAACGCTCATATATTCTGTTATGGGACACACGACAATCGCCTATATCTCTTCCTATAGCAAAGAGTTAATAAATGCTTCAAGTATCAATAGCAGAACTAAACCAAAAATAAAATATTCTGCCAATAAATTAACAATTTAATCATTAAAAAGCTATTTCTAATACTAAATAATCTTATGAATTTTTAAGTATCCAATAAGAATATTTTAATGTATGCTGAATACTTAGGTCAATGTTTTGCTTTGAAACTGAAAGAAAAGAATATCTGATAAAAATTATTCTCTTTGTAGCTTTATTAGGACCTGCTGCATGCATGGTTGCCATTCCAATGGTTAAATGTGATGCCAATGCTGTGATAGCTCTCCTAACTTCTGCGATGGCTTTATTCGGTTTGTGTGGTGGAGGAGATGTTTCCGTCATCGTCGATCTGGCTCCAGATTTTGCAGGTTTGTTATATTACCATTTATGTAGATTATTTTGCGAAATTAAATCACTAAACATACATGTATTGTGTTTTAAAAACACGCCAGTGTTTGTTCAGCCTAGTGTGATCTTGTTTCCACATACGTACAGGCATCTTCCAATTCTAAAGTGTCTTTATTTTCACGTATTAAAATATTTTTTCTTTAAATAATTTTAAGAAAACCGAAAATGATTTTTCACTTTTAAGAAGCGAAAAAGCATTTTAACATTTTTATAGAATGACTGAAGAAAAATATAACCAATTCCGAAGCTATATTAAAGTTTAAAGAAGTTTCACATTTATGCTTCTTTCATACACGAATGTTTTGTTGCCTGATAAGAGTCCTTCGATAGAAAAGTTGTCAATTTACATAATCAAATATATATTGTATTTCAAGCTTCTCATATCACCCTGAAGACAGATTTTGATTTTTGGCCTTAGAATAACCAAACATAGAAACTGCAGACGTGGTAAACTGATAAATGTAAACGGCAATAAGATACTAACAGACGATCATTTGTCCTCTATCTTTCCCACCTTTGTCTTTTCCCATTACCAAATCTCTTTTGAGTTAGCTTAACGAGCCATCGTCATTGCTACCATCTCTAAGACTTTGAATGTGCTCAGTGTCTTTTAATATAAATGCGGTGCAAGTATACAGAGCAAAAGATTTACTTTTTATATGGATTGGTGTATGCATTTCATATTTTGCCCTTAGCGAGCGTCATTTGGTATTATTTGAAATTCATTTTATTCCTTAATATTATTTGAAAGATTCTTGTTGCAGGCCTTAGAATACTTCAAATTTTTCCCATATAAATTAACAATAACTGCTTCATCTTCCTACACCACGTCTGTTATTGAAAGGGTTCATTGGAACACTGTACTGCCATAAAGACTGCCATATACCAATTCATTGTAAGAAGACCAGCAACCGATAGTTTACCAATAATTATCTCAAAGAAAAACCTTCTGTGAGTTAGTCATGAGGAAGTTAACTAATACAAATTCGGAAGCAGATATTATTGCGTATTAATTCTGTAAAATTAAATTTATTGATTGTGTAATTAATTGTTTGTGTTTGGAGAAGATTCCAAAAGGCCATATAACAATACAATATGTCACTAAATATATTTTGTTGTTATTTCTGAGAACATTGTTAAAGTTATCATTTCCGAGAAGATTGTCAGAGTTAAATTTAGACAAAAAAGCACAGCTTGTTTTTCTGTTTATATATCTATACTAGATAGATATTAAACGTCTATTAAAATTGGCTAAAAAAAAAACAAGCGGAATCATTTACGATATTCAAAATATTTATAAGAAAGATGAAATTGGAAAGGAAATATAACAGTAACTATCATATCTCCATCTGTTTCAAAGTTTGCTTCAGTTTTTAAAACTGAAATGCCAAATATTTGAATTTTATCGTTTTCTTATTTTAGTTTCATCGTATGGAATATTTGTTCCCACATATTAAAAAGATTTTATTTCAAATGGTTTGATCGTTTTTAAATGCTGCATTTTTTTCAGACAGATTGTTCTCCTCTAAATATTTTCTCTTGAAATTTGTATAATAAACTTCAGTCAAAATAACTTTGAGTAAAAGATTTAAAAGGATAATAAAAATATTATATAACATTTCGATATAAAGCTAAAACATAACTATCTAATATTCGATGACTGGAAGTAATTGGAAAATAAATAATAATAACTACAGTAATTGTCAAAATATGTAATAACTACAGTAATTGTCAAAATATTATAATAGATAACATTTTAGAGAGAGAGAATTGTCAGAGAAAAGAAGTAACTGTGTTTGCAATTAGATGTCAAAGCCACTCTCAGTGAGAAAGAAACTAATATCAATAAAAAAGATCATTTATAAATAATATTCCAATAACTTCCTTAAAACAAATAAATAATGTAGCTGGTGATTCCAGTAGTGGCTTCAGTATTAGTATTTACAGTCTTTTGAACAATCAGGCGGCAATTCGAGAATTAATTAGTTAAAGTTATCATAATTAATCTTGCTGTTTAAAAGTGGTTTGTTTTATTTGAGTACGGCAAAGCCTGTAGGGCTGTTTACCTAAGGGGAGGGATGCCTTTGTGGAGGACTTACTAAGAGAATTGGCTGGTATGCACGTTTCACAAGGTGAAAAACTCAAAAACGCGCATGCAGCCAGCCCGTTCGCTGAATTTGAACCTCGGACCGAACTACCAGTGACTTTACTGCTCGGCCGCTGGTGGGGTTGCTATTTAAAAGTGATGGAAATATTATTAACAATAGTTAATCCGGACGTCCATTATCCGGAATGATCTATAATCCGGACCTCAAAGCCACAAACTTTACGCATGAGCGTAGAGAATGCGCATACACTACGCGCATGCTTTGCGCATTCGCGCGTTGAAAGAAATGTTTAATAAAGTAAACAAATAAATATTAAGCTTTTTTTTTTGTAAAATTTGATACCCTTTAGATCATAATTGCTCTTTATTTCATAAATTACGGTTTCATATTTTTAATTGTATAATTTCTGCATGCCATCTTAGCAGATTTAAATTGATGATCTATAATCCGGAAAAAACCCTAATCCGGAATCGCCGAAGTCCCGACGACTCCGGATTACGGAATTTGTACTGTAATTATGTCTTTAAATGATCCTCCTACCGGGAGCTCACCAGCGGCTGAACACTGGTAGTTCGGTCTGAGGTCCAAATTCCGCGAACGGGATGATGGTTAATGAAAACCGAGTCCGCTTTCTTGTAATTCTGGATAATGCGTGGACATTTATAAATGTGTTGTTTTAAAAAGATGACAAAATTTAAAATTTTGTTTGGGGAAGATATGTAATAGTGAACCTCTAACTCCAAACGTTATTGTTGGTGATACGACAAGCGTAAGAGATCCTTCGATTCAGTGTTACCTTAGATGGTCTCATTTAAAATCCGAATAGAAGTTATCCTGACAACCTTCGTATGCCTTCTTTTAATGAAATAAGCTTAACCCTTTTTTCAGCAATAATGAGGAACGTCAATTATTTTACAAGTTTAATCATCAACGTATCATCAAAAATAAATGCTTTGAATAAAAACAGGTTAAACTGATTCTCGGAGTTCCTGATAATGAAGTCATAAAAGTCATTAATGGCCCATTTTCAATATATTTGCCAGTTATGTTTATAAATATACAACAATTAGCATTTTTTTTTCATCTATAAGAAAGTAAGTCTGATGTATTTATTATTACATCCTGCTGCTGTAATTGAGTGGAATTCATAAATTGTAAAGAAAACTGACATGTATTAACAAAAATTCTTTCAACAGGCAAAATATTTGGGGTTTCGAATGCCATTGCAAGTATTCCTGGTATTCTTGCGCCTGTAGTTGCTGGGTACTTTCTAGAAGGCAATGTAAGTTGTTTTGTTTCTTTTATGTAACTGGTTCTGTCTATGCAATTATTAGTCCAAAGGAGCAATTTGCCCAGAAGGACTATTAATTTCGTTTTGGCATTTTGCATCGATTCACGATAATCGTTGTTTCACTTTTCAAATTGTTGCCACCAAATATTATCGCTCTGTATTATATTTAACGAAATTAAATAATGAAAAAATCTTGCATGAATGTGTGTATGTTTCTCGCACTGTGATAAAACAACCGTACCTAGAGCCATCGAAATTTGAATAACGTAATCTTCCATAGAATATGGGCATGCAGAAGACGTAATTTGAATTTGAAATTTGTTTTATTATCGATTTCAGATTTTGTAACACTTCAACGAACTTTTGATTAACTGTACGAGAAAAAACATTTTTATCTCCAGCGCGCCAGACTCTGCATTGGAAATTCTAAAGATATGCTCAGTTTAAAATTAATTTGCGATATTACTGTTGAACTGAATGTTATGGTTGAAGTGCAAAGAGCACGATATTTAATAAATAAAGGTAACACACAAAACGTTAAAAAAAACGGCCTCTTTGGACGTAATTTAAAATCTGAAACCTTTCAGATTTTTATTATATTTTTATTAAATGTTTTTAATTAAAATTTTAATGAATGCAGCTTGTAATATTTAAGGAAAATAATAGAAATAGCATACGAGTCACAAATACTAAAGCGGCAATTTACTATTCGTAAATAACAATCGTATGCTATTTACAAATCGTTGTTACAAAGGGGAGGAATCATACGTTACAAAGATAGGAAAGAAATCGATTATTTCTAGAATATCGAAAATGTACAAATTATCTGTATTAGTTTATAAGTAGAATCCAATACCTATTCATTTGGCAATGAAACAATTATGATAGCTAGAAAAAATACTTTCTTGGTAAATCTGTGCAAAAGAATTATTATTTATTTGTCTAAAAAATTATTTTCTTTGTTTTATTTTAATATAACAGAAAAAACAGTACGGAATAAAAAGCAAATCATTGATATTTTATAATATCACAGATTTCGGGTAACTTGTAAACAATAATAACGTTAAACCTCGCGTATAGAATTTCATGCAAATTAAATATGATATACCTGTACTGAAATGCTTCGACTTCTGCATAAAGGATTCTTTGGAAAACAGTTTTAAAATTCGAAAATTCGAATTCGAACAAAATTAGGTTTTAAAAAGGCGACTTAAGGGTAAAATTTCCAAGTCAGACATTTTTTAAAACTAACCAAAGTTAAAAAATCAAAAAGATTTTACCCCTTTTTAACAATCACAATTTAATTTTATGTTTTAATTTAACTAATTTATTTTATTATTTAATTATTAAATCTAATTTATAGTCAATTTAATTAACATTTTAATGTTATTTGCATTTTAAATTATCTAACTACAGATCTGATCTGGTGTACCTTAAATGCTATTTCAATACCATGGAAAAGTGACTTTACTAGAATATTGATTGTAATGTTTTAGCTCAATTAGGGCAACAGCCCGGTTCAAGATAAACCAAACCCAAAACAAGTGAAGAACACATGAACTGTAAATGCAGTGTCTGAAAATTGGTTTGGTTTGTCTTATAACGCCCGTGCCTAAGAGGGAGGATGCTTTCGTAGAGGACCTTCTAAGAGAAACTGGCTCGTATACTTGTTACACATAGAGAAAACTACGAAAACGCTCATGCAGCCAGTCCGTTCGTCAGAATCCGAACTCCGGACCAAAATACCAGCGTTCAGCGACTTTACCGCTCGGCCGCTGATGGGTCCGATGGCGGAAGATAAACCAAACCGGACATAACAGACTTCACTTTTTTGCGTCGATTTATCTTAGACCACCTGATGTAACATTTTAGTGCTGTTATAAGAAAGTATTTAATTTCCCCAAAAATAGATATAAATACTTCTCTCAAGATCCATAGTTCTTTAAAAATTGTTATATCAATGCCTTATTAAATGAGCAAATAGAAAAGAATGAGCAGTTTATGAGAAAATAAAGTTAAAATACCAAAAAATAATCATCATACATCAGCGGGATATTTTTTCTAATTGGTAAATTATTATCATGCTTTTAAGATTTCATCTAGGTAGCAATAAATCGGCGTTTTATAAAATTTAATCAATGTTTTTAAAGAGGCATTCCGACCTACCTCTCAGGTAAAAAAAAAAAAAAAAGAAAAAAAAAAAAAAAAAAAAAGAAAAAAGAAAAAAAAGGAAAAAAAAAATCCATGGCTATTTCGAGTGCATCAATGATTTATTTTTAACAACTTCTAATTGGAAAATGATATAAAACCTGAAACGGAAAATTTAAATAAAGAGAATTTCCAATATTTGGCTTTGCCGATTTGAACAACACGCTTTAAACAAAAATCTACCGGAAAGCTGATTTCTAAATTACAAGGCCTATCGTAACATCTTAGCGTAAAATAATTTCACTATGAAAGTGAAATCTTACTGTAGTTTCTCTTTAATCTTATAATTTTTCATACCTTTTAATTTTTTTGAACATTTTGTAACCTTTTCAATTTTAATGATAAGTTCTTCGAGCTGTTAGACAGAAGTCTGAAGTTTTCAGATTCCAATTTTTAATTAATCTTCTTTTATATTATAGTAATAGTGTGAACAAACTCTTCATCCAGTTTCGCTCATTTTTTGTGCTAACTTTGCGAATTCTCGTAATTACCGGAAACATTGTTATGCGTCGTAGTTCTTTTATAGTTAAATGCATGACATTTTTATGAAAGCATAATTAAATAAGTAGCTTAAATTTTCATATTTTGTAAATTAATATGCTCATAATGTAGAATAATATCACAGCTTTGAAGAAAAGTAATCGAAGATTAAACGTATCCTCTGTTTACGTTCCTCTTCTTCATTATATATAGAGAGACATTTTTTTTTTCCTTTATAACTCCTATTGTTGCAAAATATTAATTTGCTTCTTCTATTTTATTTATCCTTTCCATAGTAAATCTTTCAGTCTTTTATCTCAAATGCTATTATCTTTTACGTTTTGTTATGGAAATTCTCAAATATTTCAGATTATTCTAGTCAGCAGCGAAATTATGCTAAATTTTAGCTTTGCTGGAACTTTTTTTTATTTTAGCATTACCTGTCAGTGTAGTTACGATACTCCTAGCGTTAACTATTACCATCCTTTTAAAAGAACTACTAAGATTAGTTTCATAAATTTAAAGAAACAAAATGATAATGAATTTTTTATATAGTAGTTTTATTTTCATTTTAAATCTTGTATCTTGTGCTTGCAGTAAGATAAGAAACTCAAAATGTCTCCACTTCATATTTATATCTAAAATTATCTTTGAACCTTTATCTTTTTAAGTATCAGTTTTCTGACATGCTAAAAACTAAAATTTTTTTAATTTTCTATATCTGCATTTCGTCACATTTTTACAAGTCGCAACACCTGCCAATATATTAATAAAAAGCTCCGCTGTAAATTAAAAAAAAAAATTAAATCCACTGAAATCACCTTGAACAAATTCTCTTTCAGCTTTTAGCAGGTTTAGAATTGCTTTCAAACCTCAATAATTATATTAAATAAAGTGCATATACTATAGTGCGCTGTTTTTATAACCGCACTGTTGCCAAATAATATAACGTAAATTAAGTTCGAAGAAAATTATTTGTTTATGCATTTTTCAATCTTTTCTGGAATTTTTTTACCGTTTAAAGGGAATTTATTTGCACAATTTGTTTTTATAAACGTTCTCACATGAGCCTTTACAACATCTATAGACTAATAACACCTTTTTAGACAAAATCCAAATAAATACCATACTGGTTTATATGTAGTGTTCCCGTAATAAAATATATAGAACTAGAATATTTTATTACGTATAAACGTATAATTTTGTATAACATTTACGTTGTATAGTTTACAGCAGCGTTTCTCAAACTGTGGTTCAGCGGCCCACAAGTGGTCTCAAAGCCTTCTTTTGTGCGAAACATGCTTCCAGATTTCTTTAAAAAAATTAATAAATAAAATTCACATTAACACTGTGTACCATACTATAGCTGATAATCTCAAAGAGTTTGGAAATTACACATGGCAATCGTATATCCTTTTTCCTAACAAAACTGACATTTGATGAAATATACCGGTTATTCATCATCCGAATTTTCACTCTAGACTTAGCAACATAAAAAGCATTTAAAGCACTATGATTATGGCCTTTCTTACAACCGTACATCCAAACATGGAACAGCTGTACAAAAATCGGCAGGTTCATCCATCTTACTAATATTATACTAAATTTGAGTTTATTGAACGATATAAACGATTACATATACAAACGATAGAAACGATAAACTATGTAAACGATAAGCGATAGAAACCATAAACGGTATAAACGATAAGCGATGGAAACGATATAATAATTTCATTTTCAGTTAACAAGGTAAAGATTACGAAAACTCTGATAACCTTAAATTAACAGAAATTGAATACAATTTTTTCCGTTAATTTGAAATTACTTATTGTCAATAAAAATTAAATGAATTTTAATTAATTATATTTCCAAAATATAAATATACTGGTAGTAACATATTCTAAAAAATTGCTTTCGAAGAGAGGACAAGAGTAAGGCGATCCGCAGAATATTCTAGTTTATAAAAGTATTATTAAAAGTATATATTTTATTGCATAATTTATACTAATTTTTATTCTAATTTATAAAGTTATTCTAATATATAATATACATAATAATTATATATATATATATATATAATTACAAAACAATTCTTTTGAAAACAAAACATAAACATGCCTAGATTTTCACGCATTAAGCTGCAGAAAAATTATTGTTAAAGACATAAAAGTAAGAAATTTAGAATTAATATTTCGCCCAACGATCAGAAATTGAAATTCATAATTAATAAATTTCAAATAAATATATAAATGAAACAAAGAATTTTAAAATGTTAAACAAAAACATTTCAAACAAGCAAAATCCCACAAAAAATTTTATGAAATTTAATGAAAAAAGAACCAATTGCAGCAATAATTAATCTTTTATTTGTATGCAATTAAATTTTCATAATTTTCAATTTAAATTTGAATTAGCTTTATATGAATGAGAGAGTATTTGTTAAATTCAAATATATATACATATATATATATATATATATATATACAGTGTCTCAAAAAAGTGATGGGACACTTGTGCTTTACAAAAGGAAACTGCAATAAAATAGATTAAAAAAACATGTAAAAATTTTTGTGGGTGTGTTTCATACTTAAATTTAGTAACAATTATTACATAACATACATTTTCTCAAAATATTAAAATATTAATTTAATAAAAATACAATTGTTTAGAACGGAGCAAAAATGGCTCACTTAAGTGATGGGACACTACGTACTAATGCAACAAAATCGTCTGAAGTAAGCAATAAAAATATCTTTTGGGGTATTTATTTTTACTCAAAAGCAATTGCCAATAATTTATAAAATCGTCTGCAGTATTTCTCTCCAGTTTGTTTTGGAATTTTTGTGTTTTTTAGCTCTGTGCAGCCATGAATGCTAAACGAAAAGAAACTTTGCCTGGAATTCGAAAATTAGTTATTAATTTGCATATTGAACGTAGAAAATCTATTAGAGAAACTACTGAAACAGTTATTCAACAGTTTTCAATATCATTAAACGATATAAAAAGAATCATATGATTCAGGATAAAAGAAGACCTGGCCGACCATCAAAGCTATCCATTGGAATAATACGAATTATCGTTCAACATATTTTAAAAAAATCCAAGAATGAGTGCTCCTAAAGTTGCTGCTGATTTACAAGCATTATATGGAGTAATTGTTAATTCTGAGACTATTAGAAAAGTAATTCGATCTACTGGATATCACGGTAGAGCAGCCAGGAAAAAATTCTTCGTAAGTGAAAAGAATAGAAAACTCAGACTGGCTTTCGCAAAATCCAACATAAATAAGAATTCTGATTACTGGAATGAAGTTATATTTGCTGATGAGAGTAAATTTAATATATTTGGTTCTGACGGTAGAATCTTGGTGTGGAGAAAACCCAGGGAAGAATTTCGCAAACAGAACTTGGTGACAGAACAGCAAACAGAACAAACAGTAAAACATGGTGGAGGAGGAGTTATGGTATGGGGGTGTATGTCGTCCGCTGGAGTTGGTAATCTTGTTTTTACTGACAGTATAATGGATCAGTACAAGTATATTGACATTTTGAATCAAAATTTGAAATCTTCAGCACGAAAATTGAACCTTCATAACGATTTTAAATTCTACCAGGATAATGACCCCAAGCACAATGCTTTGAACGTTACTCTGGCTGCTGTATAACTGTCCTGAAATAATAAAAACACCCCCACAATCTCCACAATTAAATCCCATAGAGAATATTTGGCAAGAATTGGAATCAAGAATTCGCAAACACACCATTTCTTCAAAACAACAATTAAAATCTGTGCTTCAAGAAGAATGGGATAAAATCACTCCAGAAATCACAAAAAAATTAGTCGAATCCATCCCAAGAAGATTAAATCATGTTTAAAAGTAAAAGGAAATCCACAAACAAATATTTAAAACCTTTTAAAAGTAAAATTTTTCGATAAATATTGATGGAAAAGTAAGTGTCCCATCACTTAAGTGAGCCATTTTCTGCTCCGTTCTAAACAATTGTATTTTTATTAAATTAATATTTTAATATTTTTAGAAAATGTATGTTATGTAATAATTGTTACTAAATTTAAGTATGAACACACCCACAAAAAAAATTTTACATGTTTTTTAAATTTATTTTATTGCAGTTTCCTTTTGTAAAGAAAGCACAAGTGTCCCATCACTTTTTTGAGACACTGTATATAATTCTAATTTATAAAATTCTAATATTATAATATCCGCAGAATATTCTAATTCGTAATAATTTATTTATTATTTATAATTCTAATTTATAAAGTTTTATATTTTATTTTATAAATTAAAAAATATTCTAATTTATAAAAGTCTACAGAATATTGCAATTTATAAAGGTTACACTAAATATAGTTATTTATATTTTATTCTAATTTATAAAAGAAAAAAGTTTGAGAAACGCTGATTTGTAATATTTTAATATAAGAATTTTAAAATTTTCGGTTTTACTTCTCTAGAAAGGAGACGTTCAGCAGTGGTTATACATTTTCTATGTGTCTGCTGGAATATACCTAATTGGAGCTGTAATATTTTTCCTCTTTGGATCTGCGGAAGTTCAATCTTGGGGAAGTTCATCCACTACTGAGTCATCAGAAAGCAAAACTGAAAGAACTCTCTCTATGAAAGAATCAAATCTTGTATTTACTGTGCCTGTGATATTTAATTCTATTGGCGATGACGGTTTGAAAAAAAATGAAACAACTATCTTGGAAATCACAAGGTTTTGATCTGAAACATGAAACTGAGGAAACAGATTTTACGTTTTACCCAGAAGCTTTGTACCAAAGAATATGGTCTCATACGCACACATTTTATCATTGTCATCCTCTATATTCAAACTTTTAGTTGTATTTAAATGCTTATAGTGATAGTTACTAAAGTTTCAGTAATTATTCCGATAATGTGGTGGACTGTGTTTAAACTCATCAAAGCTATGTTACAATTTTATCATTGCACTTTTTTCTTATCTCTAATCTTATTTTTTAACGTTTTATACGTGTTGTTTGTTGTACGTGTTTCTTTTTTAAATAAAATGTAAATACTATTTATTATGCTTCAATTTCCTTCTTGCGTTTTCGAATTCCTTTTCAGACAAAAAATTCAAATAGTTAATCCTTTAAAAAAAAAAAAAAAAAAAAAAAAAAAAAATAGTTGAATTTCCAGTAACATGATACTTTGAAATTATCATAACTAAAGTTGATATTCGAAAACTCAACATCCGATGCATTTAATAAAAAGTGTTGTAGATGTAATTATTTTATGTCAGTGGATGTTCAATTGTAGGTCTCTGGCTTCACATAGTCCCTTTTTTTAATTTCTTCTACGAATCATAAAGGAAGTATAGTAACAGATTTAACATTTTCATAGTAACATATTAACAAAATTAAACGCTGCAAATGACATGTTCCAAAAATTGAGAACTGCAAGAACATACCACGATTTCTCTTTTAATTTGCAAAGTTTACTTCAAATTAAGTAACCGAGTCGTGCTTAGTTATGTCTTTGATTTATATTTAAAAAATATATCTATTGGTTATTCGATCATAATAATGAATTATATAGAAATAAATTAGTATATACAATAATTGATTAAAAATAAAATAGTAATACTGGTGTAATAAAAAATTATTATACCTGTATGTCTTGTAATTTAAATAACTTTGTCTTGTAAACTTGATTAGTCTTCTTTAGTAAAGCGAAATCATTAATTTAATTATTTTGTATAAAATCTACTGTAAATGATGTCAGTTCCTTGTGGTTTTATTTTGTTAAAAGTCATGCAACTTTACGAATCATTTCATATGCAGTAAACACTTATTACTGTAGATTAATATCAAATGTTTTATGCATTTCTCGCTCAATGACTTTACTTTAGATACCGCTTGATACATAATGATTAATTGCTGAGAAAGTATGATTGCTAAAAATCCCTAGTTTCATCCTGAGTTCGATTTCTGGAATGAATATTTACTTATATCTTATGCAACATAAGTAAAATCAGTTGTTTAAAAAAATTTGCCCAAATATCTCTTTAAAAATTATTATCACTGAAAGCAGACTGAATAACTATTTCGAATTCACCGAAATGTAATGTGAGGGGACCATGTAAGTGACTTATTGAGGATCACCCCAAGATAAGGGACTTGCTTGGCCCAGGGAATCATTTATAATTTCCTTGATTATAAATATCCCTTATACAGTGCTTAAATTGCGCCGGAGCCCACCGAAGCCCGGCTCCGGTACTTCTCAATTTTTAAGATAAATTACAATTTTAGCCGGAGCGCACCGGAGCCCTAAATAAGATGAACTCCGGTACTTCTTTTTATAAAACTGAACCACAATTTAAAGGGAAAAAAATTTACCTCACAAAATTTGGAAAGCTGGAAATTTTTAATTTGTTTACTGCATAACAGAGAATGTTCGAAAATGTCTCTGCAGGATTATTTTATTACACATTGATTCTGTACTTATACATGCAAACACGAAATTGCGTAGAACATATAATATGCTAATTTATATAATTATATAAAATTATTTACACAACCCCTTCCTGTGCAAAACTAATAAACGCACTAATAATTTTTATACGGATCACATCGAGACAAATTCCCAATTAATAAATGATTCATTGTATTTTAATTAATTAAACAAAAACTTCCATATCGTTACGTGCAAACTTTGCGAAGGTTTAGTGGACGAATACTTTTTGGAATCCAATAAGTAACCTTGCATTTAGAATTTCTCTTCTCTCTGTAGAACGGTGTTTGAGATACCAGGGTGCCTGAGCCAAGGCTCTACCCCTTGTAGAACATTTTGATCATTTCGAAAGGTGGTATAGAATAACCAAAAGATAAATCGAATAGATTTTTTTTTTCTTTTAATTTTGTAAAGGTCATATTGTTAACGTAATAATAACAATGGAGTTGCTGTCTAAATTAGTGCGAGCAGAAAAGTCGAGAAACTGTTGACTTTGACAGGAACGAGGTGTGCAAACATTGCAAATTGAATCTATTAAGAATTATTAAATACACAACATCAAATATTAAGACATGAACTTGAAATAATTATATTCATATATCTATAACATACACAAAAGTGGGAATGCAAACAGAAAATTTGAAGTGTAGCAGATAAGAGGAATGAAAATAAATACATAAACAAACACATATGTCAAATTATTAGAGTTGCATATTACATGATCCATACATTCAGTTGGGCCATAGGCCTACCAGTATTTTCCAAACTGTTATAGTCGTAATCGCAGATTTTAATACTGGGATTATCAATATTTTTCTGCCTTTCATAAAATTTTTTGGCTAAGTTATGAGTGAGCAATAACTCAATGCCTAACTCTTCATATATCCTATTATTCCTTACATACCATTCAGCATTTACAAATTGTCGTAGAACAGTATTTTGGCAGACTTGCAATCTTTTCCTATTAGTTTTCTTGGTATATGCTCAAACCGGACTTGCATAACACAAAAGTGGACGTAGAATGAACTTGTAAATGTATTTATTGTAAATGTATTTGTTGCCAATAGATAATATACTGTTTCGAGCAATTAAGGGGTATAGTTTGGCTTTACGAACTCGAAACTTCTGGATAATGTGAGGGGACCATGTAAGTGACTTATTGAGGACCACCCCAAGATAAGGGACTTGCTTGGCCCAGGGAATCATTTAGAATTTCCTTGATTATAAATATCCCTTATACAGTGCTTAAATTGCGCCGGAGCCCACCGAAGCCCGGCTCCGGTACTTCTCAATTTTTAAGATAAATTACAATTTTAGCCGGAGCGCACCGGAGCCCTAAATAAGATGAACTCCGGTACTTCTTTTTATAAAACTGAACCACAATTTAAAGGGAAAAAAAATTTAGAATTCCTAACGTTTCAGTTTAACAATAAGCAGACCTTGCAATACTCTATTTCCCTAGAAATACGAACTCATGAGAACATAAGACATTCAAGTGAAGTCCCCTCATTCACATGCGGAAACCTTTCCCTTTAAGAAGGGCAATAAATTTGAGGGAGTTTGTTTAGGAACGCGTAAATTTCTCGCCATGCCATCGTATCTAGTGTATTGTTATCGATGCTTACAGTCAGTTATCCTCGCAGGAAGGAAAATTTGTGTTCTTAAATGTGCGTTAAGTGACAACGAGTACAATTACAGTGGAATACTAAGATAAACTACTCAAGCACGTCCTACACATCGTCTTCCCACAGTATCCACCATGGAGGTAGGAAGTAAGATGGAGTCGCCCTAAACAAGTTTCTCCGTACCCTGCTCTGAAGCACCGGCGATCCCTACCTGGTGACCAAAACACATTGGGTCATTTACCATTGAGTTCTATGGGATTTTACGCGTTCGGGTGTAAATATTTTGTAATTACGTCGCAAATATACATATAAATGTATATATTTTCTTTTTCTACAACACTTCAGAGTCCTAAGTATGTGAAAACAACATATTTTAAACAAACATCTCATTCTGAACGGAATTAAATGCTATACTTTTCACAGGACAGTTTTCTCACAATGGTTTAATTTGAATGAAATATTTTCACAAGTTTTCGTTAATTACATTAGAAAAAAAAATTAAGGTAATTCGATTTTATTCGGTTAAGGTACAAAAATTAAGATCAAAGTTTATTGTATTATTAATATTAAAATTATGCATTATTTCTCTTCTATTTATAGAGCTTCTTCCTAAAATACTTTCTTAAATATTACATGATTTTTTGGCTTCTTTTAAATCGAAAAATGGAAGTCAATTTATAATTAATGCTCTATTCGGTTCATTTTAAATTAGAGAATTATTAGAAATTAGCGAAATACTTTAAATAGTTTTTGACTTTCTCTGAACATTTCTGAAAGGGAATAAAATAAGTTTTTTTTTTTTTTTTTTTTTTTTAAAGTATTATTTAAAAATTGTAACTGAGTTATTATAAAATGTAAAGGGAATAATTCTTTTAATTATACTTATAAGATTTTTTTTCTTTTTACCCTTCATTTCAACAATACATATTCCAAAACTCTTTATTACGTTCTTAAGTGCGCATCTCATAGCATTTGCTTTACAATACCTTTTAACAGATTGCTTTCCAATACGAACAATTCTTGCTTAAATAGTTTTATAACATATTTGTGAACAGGATTTCAATTTATGTTTACAATTCAATATTAAGGTTATTATATATTTAGATAATATTTATAATCATTATAAATTAAATACATTTAATCATTAGATTTCTTCACAGTACTTTCACAGTTGTTTATAAGTGAATAAATTCTTCATTTCAAATACATTTATAAATAATTTAATGAATATTTAAGTATTTTGTCAAAGGCAGTTACATGCTTTTTGCAAGCACATGCATAAATACCCATACATATTTCATATTTATCATTTCCGGCATGTGCAAATCTTTAATTTCTGTGCATTCACTATATTTTTCGTGTAAAGTAATTTACACTAATTTAGCATACACTCGAAAGTTTTACATAAAATATATATATATGAATATAATTTGAATGAAAATTATAAGTATTATTTTTAATACCCACTCAAAGGTCAGTTTTTCTTCAAAATTCCTCCACGATGGCATCTCTCTCTTTAGGCAGATAGCCCTTGCATGCGTTACTCTATTTAATAAAAACTTAATCTGACCTATGTGCCTAATTACAAATATTTTAACATACATAATTTTATATTTACATTTAGCCATCTAGTTTCAAACTTTTCAAATCTTCTAGAAAATAAATTTTGGCAGATCTCTTTTAGCAATTTTCTTAAAATCTATATTTTTGTAGTGCAACAGCTTAGAATTTTATAAAACAAATTCATAATCAAAATCGCTGTTGTTAGTTATCGAAAAATAACCAAGATGTGATTTTTGCGTAAATGTCAGTAAACTATACAAATTGCTATTATCCATCACACTATGAATGTTTCTTTCATGCGAGAGTGTCCCTTTTCGATTTCTATGGAACTGTCGTGTGTCGAAATACTATCAGAATCTTGTCAAGCGAGCTTCTGAATGTAA